TGGAAAAGGGGGCGTGGCACCTTCCATACAAACCGAATTTTTCATACTGTATATCTCTGGAGGAGTTGATGGTAGAGTGCTCGAACATGGTATGGAGATATATGAAACCAATCGCATGCTCATGGAAAAAAATTGTGGTTATTGGAAAAGGGGGCGTGGCACTTCCCATACAACCGATTTTTTCATACTGCATACCTCTGGAAGTGTTCACGATAGAGTACAGGAATTTGGCGATTAGGGTGTCCCTATCCTAAAATAATTTTCTCTATTTTTTCTTTTAGATCTTTTGGTATTTTTGTATGAAAAATCTAATATATAAAAATATCGTGTCACGGTGTTTGTGGTCGATTTCCTCCGAAACGGCGTAACCGATTTGAATGAAATTTTTTGTGTATATTTCGTAGGTATGACAATAGGGTGTAAAGTATGTTTCATACCGCTAAGTGAAGGGGACGTGGCACCTCCCATACAAACCAAATTTTTCACACTTTATATCTCTGCAAGTGTTCATGGTAGAGTACTGGAACTTGGTATGTCCAAGACATATAAAATCAAACGCATAGTCATGAAGAAAAATTTGAAAGAAGAAAAATTTGAAGAAAAAGGGGCGTAGCACCTCCAATGCAAACCGAATATTTCACACTGCATATCTCTGGAAGTGTTCATGGTAGAGTACTTGAACATGGTATGGAGATATGAGAAATCACTCCCATACTCTTAGGAAAAATTGTGGCTATTTTATAAGGGGGGTGTGGCGCCTTTCAAATGGTACTGAAGCTAATACGTATCTTTGTATGCATATACAATTTTGCTAGGTTATTTAAGATGGTAATGGAAATATGCCTTCCGACAACCACCAAACCGTAATATTAGAAGATAAACGCGTCACTGAAAATCATGGACGTGAACTGTTGGTGAAAATGTTGTACCAAAATGTTTCAATACAAAAAATTAATTTTGGGCGGGACGAAGTTCGCCGGGTCTGCTAGTATATATATAAAATACATAATTATTATTATTTACATTTGATTAATATGTGTACGTATGAAATAAATGGTTGCATACCGTTAGGTACTATATTTTTAAATTTCGCCAAAAGTGGCAGCTAAAATAAATGGCAAGTCGAGTTTTTATTAATTTTAATTTATTTACAGATTTTACAAGGGGAACTTGATTTCAGCATGATTTGATTTTTTTACCACCACTGTCTTAACATCAACTGTCATTTCATATGTATGGGCCAGTATGCAGCTCTCAAGAAAAGCAAAAACTCCATATAAAATGATGTACAAGAAATGGCAAAGAAATTTGCTACGCTTTCTACTACGGTTTTATAAAGTTTTTTGTGAAAAAAGAGCACAAGGCAACCCATGTTTGCAACAGAAATATATGTATGCCCGTTCCATTATTTCTTGAGGAAAGAGTGAGGCAACAGGCTGTCAGATGTCATACACGAAATAACGGCAATTTTTTTCTTGAGAGCTGATAACTGGCCTTATGTATATAGTTTGACAATTCATTTGCATTGGATACAGATGGATTTGAGCGATTTTCGATTATTATATAATTCATTAGTAATATGCCGTATTTTCACTGGCTTTAAATGATACAAAAATTGTACGACAAAAATCGACAGATGTTAAGACACAAATAAATAAATAAATAAAAGGTGTGGATGTGGGGTAAAAGCCATATTCGAACATCCCTAATACTCCTCACGCGAACTATAAGATACATAAATACATACATACGTACTAAAATTATTCTCACGCACATACATAGTTACATATGATGTACATACATCCCTATAAGTGGTTATGTGTGTTTGTGTACATTAATATAACTACTGTAAATATTACTGCAATAGAACATACATGCGTACACATTTACATACATAGAACATACGCGTAAGCATAAATACAATACATACTCGTAGATACTTACAAATATACATACATAAATCAGCAAAAATAATAAATACATATTTATTTTGTATGAAGAAGAAATCAAATAAAAAATTAAAATTTAAATTGAATTTAGCATTAAGAAACAGTCTAGGAGAGGAGCTAAAGAGCAGAACATAACAAAAAAAAATTAAAACAACTGAGAAATTAAACAACTCAAATTTAATGTTGATTTCAATCGAATATTTTACGCCTTCAGATATCAATATGTTAAAGAGATACAGACCTACTTTTACATTTTTTACAAAGCAAGAGAAAAAAGTAAACAAACAAATAATAAAACGGCAAAGAAATAGATAACATCTATTAGTTTTATGCGTATGAATAGAAGAGGCAAAAAAAAATAAAATAAAAAATGCAACAAAAAGCGAGCAAAAAAAAATATAGCTACACAATTACAACAACAAGAACAATTGACGAACATACATACAGTAAAACATACAACGTAGACACAGACCGCAGCAAGATGTGAATTTAATTTTTAATTGCAATTTTTAAAGCAATAATTTATTATATACTGTAACGTATCAAAAACAACAACAAATTATGAAAAAGAGAAAACCAAAAAAGATAACTTTAAACAATTAAGCAAATAACCAACAAAATAAACAAGTGCAGCTGAATTTATAATTTTCTAAAAAAAAACAAAAAGAAAGTGTAAATGCAGAAAAGGGTAACAGTACGAGTACAGTACGCAGAGAAAATATACATATGAACTTAACACAGAATTTCCGATATTTCACATGCAATCATACATACATCATATGTACATACAAATGCATACAAACAGACATGAAACGCATTTGAGATAATTTATTTCGCAATTCAGAACGCAAAAACACAAAGCAAAAAAAAAAAAACAAAAACACCGGCTATACCGCGCGTCATACAAACTCATCATGTAATCGAAAGATTTATAAGTATGTAGTATGTAAAATATTGTAAAACTAACGAGTTTTTCGAACACGCGAATCAATACATATGAACTTGTATAATTATATGTATATGTGCATAAATACAAACAAATCGTTCCAACTAAGAACATAAATACATTTTTTCAAGTAATATTGTACGTACATACACATTTACTATTACTGGTAGTAATAGGTGTACGAAGAAATACTCACTGTACTGTAAGAATCAACATGCATACATTCAAACATACATACATACATACAATACGTACATAGAAACGAGTACATACTACCCTTTCAAGAAATAAAACCAATGCGATTTTTATTTAAGAAAAAATATGCGAATATTTTTTTATTTACTAAGTGGAAGTTGTCATCATTGGTGAGAACAAACAAAAACTAATCAATTAATTCGGGAACATCCACATCTTCATTGTTGCAAATAGTTTTTATGTCCACAGTTCCCTTTAAATCCGATTTGCTGCAAATGGAGAGAATATTAGTTCTTATTGCAGTTTTTTTTGGAACTACATACATACAAAAAACAGCGGGTGCGAAAAAATAGCACCCATTTTTTGTTGCCAAAGTTAATTATGAAGAAACCAGTAGGTTATTTAAAAAAAAAAAACTGTTCTTTATTGGTTGGCATACGATTTCCAACATTTTTGCACAAAAAAAATCTTAACCCTTGACGACTGATGGGTCAAAAGTGGTCACTTTCTAATTTGTGGTTTTATTGACAAAGTTTTAATGCAGTTTTTTTAAATATTTATATTTAAGAAAGAAATACCGCTAAGTTACAAAACCAATTATTACCGTGGCTAATTTAAAAAATATATTGTCCAATTAACTAATTTCAATTGAAAACCCGAAAGCTCTAAACTTCCTTATTTGCCTGCTTAAAAGTTAAAAAGAGCAGTTTTTGCAGCAACCCTAAAGGTAAATAGTTCACTACTGGGGATTTACATGTAAACCTATCAAAGTCAGGTGTTTATGCCTCGAGAAGTGGCCAGTCTGCAGTCCCATCTGCTCAATGAAAGCAAATGCCTAGCAAGACCCTCTGAGATTGAGTGCAACATTAATTTTGTCCACCTGCAGCCGCTCGAAGTCTCCCAGTCATTGCTGAGCGAAGTATTCACCCACACCCCTATTCTGCAACTCTTTCGTATTCGGATTTTGCTAC